AGACCAACAGCGTGTTCTTACGTCCGACAGTCCCATATCTGAGCCTTGCTTTGGTTTAGCAGTGATCGTCATTGTTGCTCTAAACAAACACATGAAGAAGCAAGCAAATACAGATAAGTAAATACAGGTTTCAATTTAGTAAGCTGTCGCAGCTGAGGGCTTCGGTTTGATCTTTGCCACTTGGTCATCTTGCCTTTTTTGGTTTGCCTTACTTTCATGTTTCGGGGCCCTGATCTCCAATCGAGTATCCGGAGAAAGGACGAGTTTAGGTTTAAAGGGAACTCCAGAAAGTTGGAATATGGAATAATGGCAGGATCTCCTATATTTTGCCTTAAAGGGACTATGATAATGATATTCCAACTCTCTGGCTTCTACTGTCGGGTTTAGGGTTTGAGGTTTGGGACTTGAGCTATTTCCCGACTCAGCGGCGTGGACCCACACGGAGCTGTGATGTCCTGCGGTTTCAAAAAGGTGTCCGGCGCAGCCTGTCAACCATCATCGGAGCTTGCTGTTGAAGTTTAAAGGGTTTGGGGGGGATCATGGGCATCATGTATGTAACCATAAACCCTAGGTCTGGGGGATGGTTTGGGGGATCATGGGCATCATTTATGTAGTAACCATGAGCCCGAAGCCCTAAACCTGCGGCAGCTGCTCCCGTTTTCTTCATTTCAGTTTAGGTTCGGGGTTTAGGTGCTTGCAGGTAGGGTTCAGGCCTCAGGATGCAGTGCTTTGGAGTTTTGGGCGTCAGAGGTCAGGGAGGGTTAGGGCTGAGGGTTTCTGGGCGGTTCTGAGTACGGTGGCAGCTTTGAGGTAACAAGCAGCCCATCCCGCAACTAGTACCCGTAACTTGTAATTAGCTTCCGAAATGCTTCTTGCAAGCACATGGAAATCACATTTCACATTTCATTTCCCTGACAAAATACGGTTCAGGTCCCAGGCCGTTCAGTCCGTATCACCTTCAGGCATCTCGAAGTAGTATATGGCCCTATAGAACAGAATTGGGTATGCCGCTACTTTACAAGTAGCTATGGTTCGGGCTTTAAAACCTTGGAGATTGGGGTGTTGGCTGAGTGTAAACTTATGCCTACCTTTGAACCTGCCTCCTGTTGGCACTCTTCCACCCTGCATCCGAAATTTGTCCTTGGATTGGGATGCTGCCGGGGGGGGCCGGGGGGGGAGGGCTTAGGCTTAAGTAGTTCGTACCCGAGCTTGTGCTGGAGATCAACCAAATCATAAAAACGTGTAAAACAGGCAATCTGCAAAGACATAAAAAAACGCGGCAAGAAACGTAAGCCAGGAAAGCAACTCAAAGAAAAGGCGACGCCAAGGGCACAAAAAAAAGGCAAAGGCTCAGGGCTTGGGTTCCTGGGTATACAGGAAGCTGCCGCGCATTCATATTTTCGGCGTGCGCTTCTGGCACTGTTTCTGCTCTCCACTTGTTTCTATATACAGCAGGACCACGGCCTCAGGATTCGTTTGCGTAGAACCTTGCAGGCTGTGCCTCTAAAGCCACTCAAAAGGGTTCGGGGTGGGGCTGGATTGGGCTGGTGGCTGGATGGGCTGGGGGTCCCGGTTTCGGAAGGCGAGGGTGGGTTCGGCAGGGCGCTTTCTGGGGGCGACCGGGGAGGTGGGTGTGGAGGCACGTTTTCTGTGGCACCTTTCTTTCGCCTTCCACGCACGTTTTTCGGATGGAGCGTTGCGTTTGGCTTGCGCCTTTTATTCGCGTTGTTGGTGCCTTTTCGTCGCCTTTTTGGCACCATTTTTTTGTCTTTTTATTGTTTGTTTTTGCTTTGTTCCTAGGAAAACGCAAAAGAAAGGCGCCCGCCCCCTCTCCCACGACGCCCTTCCCCCAACTTGAAAAAACGCTCTGAGAGAGCAAAAGCAACCCAATTTGGAGTCGCGAAAAACCCACGAAACCAGGCAGATTTCGACTTTCTCCGGAACCCGCCCAAAAGAGCAGCTCCGGGCAGCCGCGGAGAGGGTCTGGGTGAGGGGCACGAAAGGGCAGGGGGAGGTGCGCAGAGCCTGGCGGCGGCGTCTGCAATGCATGTGCCGGGCTGTACACTTCTGCACCAAAGGTACCTACAAGGACAATTGTTCGTCCTGACCCTGATGCTCTCTGAAGCTCCGAAGGATTGATCCTGTGGCACAGCATAACGACCTGTCAGCGCGATTGACATCGAGTTTTTTCTGCGTGTTTCTTGGGTTTATCGTCGGCTCTAAATCGGGTTGTTTTTAGGTTTCCGGGGGGGCGACATTTGTTTATTTTGTTTGCTTTGGTTTTCGGCGGGGTCCTCGGAACCGCCTTTTCCAAACGCCTTTATTGTGCCTTTTTAAGCCCAAGTATCATCATGGCATATACTTAGACCCCCAAAATGCCCTACAAGTATATACCAGAATGATACTTGAACCCTTTAAAAAGGTTTGCAGCAGACACCAGGACTAGCTAGTGCGAGCGACTTAAGCTTAGGCCTTGAGTTCTGGTTGCAACGGCCGGGAGATACTCCTCACACCCCACGCCTCCTCTGATGCCAGTCTCTGAGTGATGACGGCGACGTGGGCTACGGGGCCGAGTTGCCAATGACCCGACCCACAGGCGCCCTCCAGGAAGCTTCCGGGAAGGTTGTTAATAGTGGCTGGTGGGTTCGTGTGTGTGTGTGTGTGTGTGTGTGTGTGGGTGTGCGTGTGTGTGTGTGTGTGTGCCGTAGCCATTTTGGCTCAAGTGCTTGAACCCATGTCTGAATATATTGTTGAATTGCTCCCTGAGCAGCGCACATCCGGTCTATATTAAAGCCCACATTTAGTGCTTAAGGCTCAAGCAAAAGACTAGGAGTCTGCAGTCTACAGGGAATAGGAGTGTGCAGTCTACTGTTTCAGGCTGACTTGCCGTGCGATGCTGCCAGGTCGGGCTTGTGGTTTCGACCCCCGGAAATGTGCTTAGCGTCAGCATGTTTTGCCGTGCCGGGTTTCTACGGTTCGAGGAGGTCTGAAAGAGTTCCGGAGCCCCGCAAAACAGCAAAAACTCTCAGGCTTAGGGTTGAGCATGGAGCTGTGGGGCCGGCCATTTTGGCGAGCTAGCGTCGTGGGGCCCGGTGGCTTTCGAGTGTCAATCGACCTTGACTACCAAGCCATCGTCGGCGACCTCAAGCAGCGTCTCTCGCAGATGACGCGTATCAAGTTCTGCGAACTCAAGCTGCTGCAGGGGCAGAACGAGCCGGACACTTTCGACAAGCTCCACATGCTGGAGCCCAACTTCACCATAGTTGTGGTTCCATCATGCAGGTGCACCCCCCTATCAGCGACATCGGCGAGTACTGTTCCCAACGATGCTACGATCTGATGCTGCGCGAGCTCAGGGATCCGAATGGCCTCTTCACATCATGGGGGGTCGTCCCGGACATAGAACCGCGACGTCACTACAGATCCTGGAGCTGCGAAAGTGGCAGATCGAGAAATCTTTAATGCCGTGAAACCAGACAGTGACAATGTACAGAGGTTAGGGGCCCAAAAAGGACGTGATATTCCTACTTTACTGGGCTTCATGATACGGGGGTTTTTTTATGTTGGAAATCCCTAGCCTAAAAGCCTAAAGGATTACGCTTATGTGCTTTTTGGGGCCCTAGTCTAGTCTTAGTATGAGGTGCACGGGTTGGGTCAAGTCTTGGGAGGCGCCCGTTCCCTCGCTGTCGGTGCCAACTATCTTGGCATCAAAGTGGGTTATGGTAGCTTTGAAAGAGCTTCCGCTACACATAGACTAAATCAGTCATGGGTGGCCTTTAATCGACTTCACATGCTACTGAAACACACCGCCATACCTTTGCGAAAGCGTGTTCTTTTGTGGCAGTCCTGCGTTTGGTCTGTGACCAGATATGGCATCCCCGCGGTGAGATCAGTGCCCAGAGCATCCGCTCGCAAAGCTTAGCAGCCCCGTATGGTTGCTCGTAGTCCGGGTCATATTACCAAAGAAACCAACTAGCAACTTCTCCATCGCCTGGGCCTGCCGGATCCACTGGATGCGCTTGTAGAAGTAAGCCGTCGCAGACTTGCAAGCTGTCAACAGCATGTACTATCCACTCAGCCGGAGCCTGTACAACAATGGTGGCACATGGTGCACAGTAGCCTTCAGCAGTGGTCCATGACAGGCCAGAACAGTATGAACACCTCGCTAAAGGAAGTGACGCAGCTTGTATCTCAGACGTTCGGCTGCCCGATCTGTGGGCAGAGCTTTCCCAGTTTTCATGCCTTGAATGTTCATAAAAGGAAACAACATCCTGAGGTGCACGGATTCAAGACCAGCAATCCTACCATCAAGAACAAGAGGCGTGATGACTTCCGGGTCCATGCATCAGCAGGCCTCCCTCAGTGCAAACACTGTGGTAAGAAGTTCTATGGGCGGCCTCAGTTTATGGGACACTTCGATCAACAGGCATGTCCTGTCCTCTTTGCCCCTACACTTAACAGTAGTCAACCTCCAGTGCCAGCCACGGTGTCTGCAGACACTCAGGGGGAACCTGGACACGCTGAGGAGGTGACACCTGTACAAGTCACTCATGATGTCACTCCGATCTTCAGCAGACCCGAGCTCCAGCAATTTGCCAGACAGGGCCGGGTGAAACAACTTGCCAAAGCGATCCAGAGTATAGGGCAGGGGCAGCACTGTCCTGAATGCTTCCAGTGGGTTGCTAAGGCCCGCTACATAACCCGACATGCTGTTCACGTGCATACCAATGTGCGCGAACATCAGTTGCAAGTTGAGACCTGGGTTCAAGCTCACACGAGCCTGCAAAACCCCTGCGAGTGGTGCGGCCAGACCTACAAGGCCAGACGAAGCAATCATCTTAAATCCTGCGCAGTTCTGTGGATGTGTGGTCACTTTCTTGCCGGGTTCAACACCTTGAGCGACCGCCGACAGCCAACCATCACCGATGTCTTCTGATCTAACAGAAGCACAGCAGCAGCTGGAGGAAGCTCGAGCGGAGCTGGAGGCATTTGGAGGCTCGATGGGCAAAAAGCTTTCGGAGGCATCCACAGGTCTCCTGAGCCAGATGGGTCAGGCGGACATGGACACGGACCCGTCTCGGGAAAAGAGGGGGGATCTGGACTTCCAGACCCCACTGACAAAGTGGAAAGGCGACGCCAAAGGCGACGCCAGGACGGATGCCCAGGAGGGACAGAGCAACGGGAAGGGCGGCTCCACTTCTCCCGGGGCCCAGGAACATCCTAGATCCGACACAGCAGTCGGGCCAGCGCAGCCAGCAGACTCAGCTCAGTCGCCGTGCACACACAGGGTCGGAATTGGGGCAACCAGCGCTACCAGGGCAATGGATCTTGGGGCAAGGATCTCTCCTCCCGAGGAGAGAGGCAGGATCAGGCCCAGAAGGACCAGATGCGGCAGATGGCGGAAATCCTCAGGGCCATTGCACGGCTATGCCTGAGGCTGGAGGACTTTCAGTCCATCCAGTGTTTGGACTGCGAGTTCGTGATTTTCTTGCAGACACCCCACAGCAACAACCCTCGCAGCATTACGGAGCAGCTGTATCAGGTGGGTCAGGAGTGGCACGCCCAAAAGGAATCGGCCCCGGAATCCATCTCACAGCCGATGCGGAACGTGCTCCTCTTCTGCATGATCACAGCCCTCTTGAGGAAGGTTCAGGAACTGGAGTCCGACTTGGAACAGATGCAGAAGGTCACGGAGGCCGGGCTGGTGGTGGGGACATCGTACCCCTTCCTCCAATGGGATTCCAAATTCCAAGCTGCAAAAGCACACTCAGGCAGCTCAGGACCTTCTTGGACACAAGGAAGTAGTGGACTACCTCAATGCCATTCTGAGGCTGAGTGCACACCAACAGGTGGTGGGGAGATTTCACGCTCTCCACCAGATGGTGGAAAAGCAGTCCACGGACATCGCGCCCTTCTCCTTGATCATACACGGCCGAACAGAGGAGAGCTTGCAAATGTATACCTACTTCAAAAAGCTCTCCCGCTGCAGTATCTGGCACCTGATTGCAGCATCGATGAGACCGGGCAAGTTAGGGCGAAGCCCTTTGGCGAAAGCCATCGAGAGAATGCTGAAGGACATCTGAGACTCTCAGATCAGCAGGTCCTCCAACTGCAACTGGGGAATAGGTCTGACTACTGTTATGCCAATTCTATAGTTCAGGGACACCTGTGGTGTCACACTCCATCTGCCCAGGTTTCGGCTCCCGTTGCCACCGGCCCTTTCCCGATGCTGCGCTTTATGCGCTGGCTCACCAGGAAGCCACAGCTGATTCACTTGTGGGAGACCCCTGCGTGGCTCAATGCCCAAATGCATTGGCAGGAGCCAGAACGTCAGCATGATGCAGCTGAATTCCTGTCAAGCATGCAGCAGGCGCTTTGCCCGGACCATTCAGTAGGATGTTGGGAATCTAGGGTTATAGCTGAAGATGGTAACGCTCAGGTGGCAGATCATGGACAAATGTGGCCACTTCCTTTGCATACGGCCCTCGACCCAGCTTTGCACCGCACACGCCGTAGACCCTGGAACCTCCAAGCCTTGATAATAGAGTGGCGCAATCAGGCAGAGCAGCATGCGGCTGTGAGCTCTCCGGGAATCATCCCTCTCCAGCTGAACCGATTTGGCCAGGATTGGCAGAAGATTCATCATCACATCGATCTTAGCCCTACTGTATACCTCCCACACTTTGTGGATGGTTCGTTAGCTACCTCTTCGGAGAAGTACCGGCTAGCAGCTGTAATCTACCACCTAGGAGCGACGGTGACATCTGGCCATTATCGCACAGCTTTGTTCCAAGATGGGCGACTGACCCATCTCACTGATGATGGCTGTGAAGCTGTAGTGGCAATGGACCGGGACATCGAAGTAGTCTGCTGCAACGCGTATATCTGCTTTCTTGTACAGCAACCTAGAACAGTATAGTAGGGCGCAGAAACGGCTTTCAACAGTTTCGTCAAGGCAAGTGTTTAACCGGATCCTCAGGGTTCATTTGTTCTTCGAGGTCTGTTAAAGAATGGTAGTTATGCTATATTTAGGGGGAATGAGGATTTGGAAAGCTTTTGCAGGCCTCTCGAGGCGATTTAAACACCCATCTCTCTGGGCATTCCTCCACTGCCTAAAGGGCGGACACGCCGGAGTGGAGCTTTTGCTGTTCTTATCGGACTATATACTGTACTTTACTTTCTGCTGCTTTCTTACTCAGAGGGGTGCGGGTACTTCTTTGGGGGGCCACAACATGTGGCTTGCATCGACTCAGATGCCGGTAAATCACCGCCCGCATCGCAAGACCTCTCTTTTGGGGCGAAGGAAGAAGTGTGTGTGTGTGTGTGTGTGTGTCTGTGTGTCCGTGTGTGTGTGTGTGTGTGTCTGTGTGTCTGTGTGTGTGTGTGTGTGTCTGTGTGTGTGTGTGTGTGTGCGCCTGTGTGTGCGCGCATGCATACATACGGTGCGTACATGTTACATATGTGTATACGTCGACAGTTTTTACGGTTCGAGGGCTTTAGGTTGGCAGGGCCTATAAGGGTTGAAGGTTTAAGGGTCCGCAGTTTCGGAGCGAGTGCCGGGTCCAGTGTTTTAGTGCAATATGGCAAGGTCTATAGGGCTTACCTTGAGGTTCATGGATCAAGGCTAGGTACTGGTGACATTTGCCTGCATAATGGCAGTCCACATTGTCGTAGCTGCTTAGGATTCAAGTCTTGAAAGTCTGAATGTGTAATCGTTGTCAACCGTTCGGTAGTTGTAATGAGGATTCCTGTTTTACAGAGTTTTAGCCTCCCAAAGAACATCATCCCGGCTTGTGGGATTCTGGCTTGTAGGGTTTAGACGGCTTCGGAGTTCAGGTTGTTAGGGCATGGATCACGGCCTAAGGCCTTTGGATTTCGTGGCTTCGGGCTTCCAGGATTTGAGCTCGTCTTAGGCGTAGTTTGTTTTTTCGGGGCTTGGCGGCTCCAGGGGACTTTTGGGCTTCGAAGTGTTCGCGGCTTCGGGCTTCTTTGGGGGCCTCCTAGCATGGGGCACTTTCGTTTTCGGTGCATGAATGCAGCTTACGACGCTGAATTCCCCAGCTCCACAAAGCCGGGGTCTTTGATGCCCCATTTCCGAAACTCGCAAAGCGTGCCTGTAGGTTTCAACCCTCCTGCGAAAACTAAGCCCCCGCCGGTTCCGTGAGGTGGCAAACCACTCGCAAATGGCAAAAGCGTTTGGATCTTGGCTTGTCAAACCATGGACCTTGAAACCCAGAGCCCTAACGGACAGCAAGACACTGCGGGTTCGGCATCACATTCACATGTGGCGATTGTCATTATCCATGCCATTCCAGCGTCACCATGCAACCCGTCCAGGCTACACCCCTGCACCATCGCCTTTTGTGGTGCGTGAGCAGGCGGCGCTTGTCGTTCGGAGGTGGAGTGTTGCTTCAACCATATTCAGGGCATAGCAAGGATCACAGATCAAGGTCTCCCTACGTTGGTATTGTCGAAAAGCATCTAGCCTATGCCCGAAGCGGGAGTATAGAGGTCTGAGCCAACCCATATTGTGAGAATTGTCGTCGCATGATTTTCTGGGCTGCTTGGTCATGAAGGTCCCTAGCCCTTGAAGCCCGCAGTTGCCTGTACCTAAACCCCCAAAGTAGGTAAAATAATGGCCCAATACCCATAAAAGGCTATTATTCTTCAGACTTTTGGGGTCCAGGTACCGGTTGTCGAGATTAAATCACCGCACTCGCCCTTGACCTCTCCGGGGACTGGGACTGAGACCTTGCACCCATAGCATCCCCTTTCGCCCCAGGTGGCAATTTAAGAGAGCCCATGTGGTCCGTAATAGTGGGTATTCAGTATTCAGCGTAGATCATTTGAAGGTAGATGGGGGTCTAGGCTAAACCTGAACTCTAAATGCTTAGCCTTGCGCATGTTCCCGGGCATCTGCTGCGCTTTCCTTGAAACGACCGAAGGCAGAAATCTCAAGCATCTTCGGCCTCAGATGCGGCTCAAGCAGATAGGTCTTCTTGAAGTCTTTCTTCTAAGGGTCTTATATAGGGTTTTAGGATTTTGCAATCGGTCCTAATATGAGATGAGCTTAGGGCTTCTTGAAATCTTTCCGTTAAGGGTCTCCTAAGGATTCAAGAGGGTTTGTAAGCTTTAGGGTCGAGGGTTTGGGTTTAGGGAAAGGGCCCAAAGTGCAGGTTGTACCTGGATTTCAGTTCAAACTCAAGAGCTTTGGGATTTGGGGTTTGGGGCTTTCAGGGCCCGAGAGCGCACGCAAGAGCCGAAGCCCCGGCTGCGTGCAGAAGCCATGGAGGACAGCTGGCTGATATTTGGGGTTACCCGGCGTAGAGTTTCAGGTTCGGCGTTGGGACTTTGGGTTTAGGGCAGGATCTGCGGTTGTGGTTTCAGGTCTTAGATAGAACTTCGAAGTAGTGTAGCTTGGGTTCAAGGTTTAGCCCTATGTGAGAAGCCTTCGGAGCCCTTACTCCAAGCGAGTTTGCCAAGTAGTTAGCATACCATACCAATGGGGCAACCATCCCGGCACATATGCTTCTGTGTGGCATGCCTGTAACTGTAGCAACCCCAAGACGGCAAAACCGACACCGACAGCCCTAAATTCTGCCCGTGGCTTTCCCGTGTTTGGAAGAGGATAGCCGGCCGAGCATGTCTGCGTCCCAGCTCCCGGGCGAGGCTGACAAGGCCTTACTCCCGGATCTCGTGTGGATACGGTTAAGGGTTCAAGCTGACATGAGAGTTTCCGAAAATAGGGGACCCTAATATAGTACCCTAATAGGATCCCTATTATAAGGACCCCAAAATAAGGTACCCCTAATTTTCGGAAACTCCCACATAGGGGCGTAATAAGGGAGCTTGAAGAGCTCGCAAACCCTAAACCCCAGCCCTGAGCCCTGCAATGTTATTCTCCAGAGTTCCGCAATCAACAGGCAGCAAAACAACCAAAGCCTAGCGGCCCTTGGGGCCTCCCCGTAAGTGCAAGTGTTTATCGGGTGCTACAAGGGAGAAGGGTCTTGGCGGATTTGAGTAAGCGTATACTTTCATAGCGACCGCAGGGTGACATAGCCAGGGTCTCGTATACTTGTTAGTGGTTGAAAGGTGATATTCTTTCGAACTTACTCATACCAACAGCCTAAATCTTGAGCCCCTGCTGCGGTGGGCTTTGTCTTTTCTGGGGTGGAAATATAGAAACTCAACCCTGAAGCTCACAATCGCTCAAGAGCCCGACAAAGTCTGTCTTCTTGGCCCAAACAGCACTGAAGCCTAAACCCCACGTGAACCTAAACCCCTCGCCTAGGCCGTAAACCCTACGCCCGAAGCTACACCTTCAACTCTATGTCTCTTAATCAGGTTCCTAAGTCAAGGTGGTACCCTAAATAGTAGGATCCTTATTATAAGGACCCCATAATAAGGTACCCCCAAAGGCAAAGGCCCAAGTTTTCAACTTGGTCAGAGGCGGCCAACCGCCTCGAAAAGATCCGGCGGGACCTGGAGCAGCAGCTGCAGCGTGAAAGATCCAAGGAGCCCCCGCAGGGGGTTTGGGGTTTTGGGGCTTTAAGGCTTAGGGGTGTTTAGGTTTAGGTTGAGGGTTTGGGGTGGGTTAGGGGGTTTAATTTGGGTTCGGGGTTTCGGGTTTGCGGCGCATCAACAAATTGCCCATTCCGAGGTCACAAGGGTACGTACTCTTTTTTCAAGCTTTGTCAGGGTTCTCCTAATTCTACCAACAGCTGGGGTCCGGCAATTGCGGATATTTTCCTGAGCCTGCAGCCGGTTGATGTCATTCCTTTGGTCTGTGCAGCGAACCTGAGCCGCCTGACCCCTCGAGCCCGAAATGTGGAAGTGATGACGGGTAGAGTGGCTCCAGCTTTAACTCATATTATGAAGTGGAAGTTCCCACCGTGGTCTCTTCTTTTGGACCTCTCTGGGATCTGCTACCAAAAACGTTAATTAACTGAGCTCTGAGCACATGACTTTGTCGGACAGCGGTTCTCCGAGACGTTGCAGCAATCTTGCTAATGCTCTGAAGTCCAGGGCACTAAACATATCGGGGAAAGAATAGTATTGTTTAGGGGAAAACTAGTTTTTCCCAATATGTTTAGTGCCCCCCCAAGACAACGTTCATCTGGCCACAGCCGAAGGCTCTGAACCGCGGTGAAGGGTCCTAGTAGTAACGAGTAGGTGAGTAGGCAACCTTAAACCATTTTGGGATACTAAAAGCCCTTGAAGAATTCAACTAGACTATACTCCCACAGATTTACCTGTAGTTCCCCAGGATACTCCACAAGTAGTGGGTCTATGATCTACGGCTGTAGGGTCTAATAACTCTTTATCACCCCTAAACCCTCAACCCTCATAGAACCTTATAGTCTTTTGGAAACCCTTAAAGAACCCTAAACCCCCAACCCCTCACAGAACCCTTATAGTCTTATAGAAACCCTTACAGACCCCTTTACAGGAACCGGAACCCTATCGATTCGGACCCACAGGACCCAGACCTTCCAAAATCCCTTAATTAAGGAATATACCTTAAATCATATTAAGGATCCTACTATAATTTAAGGGATATTCCTTAATTAAGGGATTTTGGAAGGTCTGGGGACGAGCTGCTGATCCCCAAACCCGCAGTCCGATAGTCACCCTCACAGCGAACCTCTCATGAGAGAGGCCTTGATCGTTGGATCAGGGTTTAGGGTTTAGGGTTTAGGATCGTTGGATCAGGGCTTGGGGTTTTCTTATGGGATTAAGGAAGGGGCTGCAAGGGTGTAGTATTTCTAGTTTTAAGGATCCCTGGTACAGAAAAGCCCCCTGGCACTCCTTATCCGAGGCGTAGAACCCCTAAGCACCAAACCCATAAAAGCTCAAACACCTAGACCCCAAAGCCGTAAACCCTACACCCTATGCCCTAAAGCCCTGAACCCCCGAGCTGCAGAAGGATGAGCCTTTGACGCCGGTCCTGCCGCGTTTCGCTGCGAGGAGCAGTGCTCGCGCCATCCGGACATGGTTAACTGAGGGCTTATAGAGTAGAAAGAAGCACTAATCTAGGGGCCCTAAACAACTACCCACACCCTTTTGGGGGTTCCTTGTTAGCTTTGATGTATAAGAGGCCCCAAAAGCCTATTCTACTTACTAAGGCTCCTATAGTATTTGCACAACCGATGTGACAGTTTCGGGTTCCGCATGTTTAAAATAAGGATCCTACTATTTAGGGTGCTATAATATTAGGGTCCCCATTTTCGGACACTCCCCCTTTTTGGTTCACCGACTATGCGGGATGGTACAAGCGATGTTGAAATTCGTCGAGTGCTTATCCAGTCAGGGGTGGAATGTAAGCCTTAGGCCACACTCCTTTCGAATGTGTGGTCGAGGCTGTATATCTTCCAGATCTTCGTGATCTTTGATTGCAAAGTGCATCTCAAGTTGCGCGTGCCCCATCAGCATCGAGATGATGGTCATGAACACGATCATGATGCTGACGGTCATGGTTTTGTTGACCGTGCTGGTTGTGATGCCGGTGATGACGATACTGGCGGTGATGGTGATGATGGTGATGATGGTGATGATGATGGTGCCCATGGTTTGGGCGATGACCCTGGCAAGGGTGGTTGTTATGATGGTGATGATGATGACGCCGATGATGATGTTGACGACAACGACGGCGACAGCGGTGGGCATGGCAAAGACAACGAGGACAACAACGAGATGAGTCATGATGGTGAAGGTGAAGATGAACCAGGATCAAGCCAACGAATAAGAACAATAGTAATTATAGAAGGATGAGGATGAGGATCAAGATGAGGTTGTTGATGATGATGATGATGATGATCGTTCACGTGGTGCCACTGGCGGCATCGATAAAGTGTGTCTTGCTCCAATGTCTCCCGCAGTGTCTACCCATTCGGGACCTTGCCAGGATCTGTCCAGAGCTTCAACTACAGACACCGTCTCTGGCGAGGACAGGTTGGGCTTGGCCTGCAACACCCTCAGCTCGAGAATCGAGACAGGGTATAAGGTTTAGGGTGCTCCCCCAGTATGCCACGACGCGACCGTTCGTAGTTCAGATTCATAGCAGATGCAATTCTTGCTCGTCAAATTACTGGCTGTATTCCGGCGGCGTCTTGCGCCCAACTTCCTGTAGATGGGTATGCTAATCCAAGGACCTGGGGACTTAGTAAGCAAGGTAATTCTGAGTTTAACTGCGTACAGCCCCAATTCATGTACTTATACCCTTAAGTACTAAGACCCCTAAGCCCTAAACCCCAAACCCTAAACCCTAAAGTAGGTATGCAGACCAAGAGGAGGACAGCCTCTTCGTGGCAGTGTTCCAGGCTGCCTTCTTCCTTCGAGTCAAGGACCACATGCTCTAAAGGGAACTCCAGAAAGTTGG